GATCTCCTGCCAGGACAACAGTAAGGAACTGTTCTATGAAGAAAGCTCCATGGTTGGTTGTCAAGACTCAGCCCCTTTTGAGTCGCCTTCATACTGAGGGCCTTTATATTTCAAATGCTTTCAGTTAAGCCAAATTACAGAATGGAAGCATGACGCGCTGAAATGTCGCTGCCCTAAATTTAGATGCTGCCGACAATTCCTTACGCAATGGGTGCTATTTGGGTGCTCTTATCCTAGTATGCCACTATTGCAGGATGGGGGTCTCCCTGACAATTCCTACCTTGGAGTGCCCTTGGCCTGTTGGCCGTTCCACCACAAAACAATGTGATTGCATCGCAAAGGTCTGTGTTGAACTGGTCGTCCAAATAGCCTTGTCAATCGCTTTACATTTGCCATGTCATGTGTTGCTGGAAGCAGCTTAGCCTACAGATGATAGCTCGCAGAGTTTGCGTACCTTTGTGTTGAGAGTATGTCCTGGAAGCCTGACTCTGCCCACGCTTTGCTAGAACATGTAACTAAGCCGCGACCACTTGTCGTCATGAGACGGGAGCAAGGTTTCATATTGCTTGCAGCATCTGCTTGAGCACTAACTGGCATACATCTTGTAACAAGGACAGCAACTTCTAAGGCAACGGCCAAGCCGCTTCAGTACCTCTGTTGCGCACGGACTTGATTCACGGCGTTGCAGCCAAAACTGATATGCGTATGACCATGCCTGTTACGAACAGCCTAGCAAAGATGTCTACGTGACAGCATGGCAGGCGCAGCAAGGACACCAGCCGTTCCCCGAATGCGACTTTCCAACCCCTAAACGTGATGTATATGGGGGTTTCCCAAAATTAGCGGTACCATTTTGGGGGTCCCCATAATAAGGATTATAGTATATTGGGGTCTATATTGGGGTCACCCTATTTTGGGAAAATACCATATAGACAAGTTATTGCTTTCAAGCACCCCGCTGAGCACTTCACAAGCCGCCATAGTTGAGCCGCGATCTTTGACCCTAGTTCTCAAGAACATATGGCCCCACATTGTGATAATCTCCGACATATTATATGAGCTATAGTTCAAACTTCTAGTCTTCCCCTGATTAACCCCTATAATTCTCACCTATATCATCCCCAATGCAACCCGCAACCCCCCTTTTATGGAGTTTAGACTTTAGCTTAGAAGGACACCCCAACATAATCCCTATTATCCCTTATATTCACTATTACGGGATGGGGGTTCCACCTAAACCGTAGCTCATATTACAAGTCGAACATCCCAAGCCTCGGAGCAAAGATCCTCAGAGTCTTCCAGGAGGAAAGGGCCACCTCAAGTACCAAAAAGCGAAAAGCAAAGTACCTCAAAGAAGGAATGTACCTAGATGATCATAGTACTGAAGAATCCCGATATGCTTCTCTTCCCCCTACATCGCTGATCTTTTCGTCTTATCGCATTCGACGTTCAGGCCCTGAATAGGATGTGTCTTCGGCGGACGGCGAAGTTCAGTGCTGGGCGAAGGCTGTACAACTTGAACCAAGGTATGGGACCTTCAGTTTGTGGGGGCTTTCCTGGCGATCCAGCGGACAAGTACGAAGAGTGCGACGGCGTGCCCATGCGGCAAATTGTCCTACAATCATTGGTGTCCAAAGCCGAAGTCTTAAAACAAACAGGAAGCAACAGCCGCAGGCCTCCGAGAAAAATGGAACGGCAGTCTGCGGTCCCGTACTTCGCGATGATTTCCTGCCCGCTGGTTTAACTCCGACATCTAGCACGTGTTGCGGCTGGCATGCCTTCAACTGTGCTAACAGCATCTCGACGTTCGCCTTCTGCAGGCAGAAAGCTATGCAATGCTATGCAATGTTCGAAGACGTAATTTCGGCGCAGAAACAAGAAAACATATCTAAGTCATCAATGCATACTTGCATTACCTGCAAACTGTCAAGCAGTGATCAGCCGTAAAGCCTCCTGGAGTGTTGCCACCGCCTTTTTTGCACTTTCTCCGCGAGCATACGACATGCCTGTACAATGCATCGTGGCAGTTCTGAGGAGGATGCCGCCTGGCGCCAATCTGGCAATGTAATTCGAGGTGCTCGCGCTCTTTTGCTAAGCACTGCGATGAACTGCCGGGGCCTAAATACTCGCATTGAAACGAGATTGAGGATACCCAAATCATGCTAGGTCCCCAGCTTACACGTCCTATCATTCGTAGCAGGGCGGCTCCTCCCCTCGACGGCCAAAGCGCGCGGAGCAGCCGATTGGAATCACAGAGCTTTGCTGCACTAGCTTCCACAGGTGGCAATGTGGACTCGCAATTTTGTCAGAAACCCTGAATGGACTATTCTGTTCTTGGGCTCTAAAGCTACACTTTGGAAATATTGCAGCCCTTAGGCGGACTGCTTCCGGCCTAAGGTCTCCGCTGGCGGGTCCTCCACCTCAAGGGATGCCTCTCGGCGGGTAGAATCCTCGCAGAAGGTTTGCTGATTTAAAGTTTTGGGCGTCATGAGGTTTTGACAAGGTTTATTCGCTTACAGGGTTTTGGGAAGCGTAAAGTGGAGGAGAAAACAGAGGGAGAGGAGAAACTTATTGGGAAGCTTGGAGGAAGAACTTGAGAGGGAGAGAAGGTCAAGAGCCCATGCATCACCTACCAGTAGCAAAAAGCAAAGATACGCCAAAGAAGTTGAAGCCAAAAGCTCAAACTGCCAACTGCAGCGCCAAGCATCGTCATCTTGGAGTTCGTCTACGAAGTCCACTTTCTCCTGGCACGTCTGGCAACACAGGCAACAAGAAGCACCATCATGAGCAGCGCTGCTTCCATGATTTGAGCAACAGGCTTGGATATGAAAGGTGCACCGTTGATCCGCTGAAAAGGGTTGCCCGACACACCATCAAAGCGAAACCCTGGTTCGCAGAACACGGCGAAATGGTCCCTATGTCTGGCACAGACCGTGGCAACACTACCGTCGCCGTGGCTGAATCAAACGACACGCTTCATGACTGTTCTCTACGCTTCTAGCTCTGCCACAAACATCTTCTGGCTTGCACACGGTTGCTCCCGCGCAGGTCTGGGATGCTTCACAGGGTAGGCCCAGAGGTTGAGCATAGCCTCAGGCCAGGATGCCCAGGAAGGAGTGGAGGCAGTGGATCAGCTTGGTGATTAGCAAAAGGGACATGTCACAAGGGCATAGCACTCTTACTGCTGTCAGCAGTATCAAGCTTCTGCATGCTTTCATTACTGTTAGGAATCGCATCTTGCGTCTCATGTTCATCGCCGGTCACCTTTCAAAATCAAGGGGGCTTGTATAAGTGTCGCTCGAGGGTGGCAAACATCTGCACATACTAACGCAGCATCACACTCAAAGCTCCACTCTTCCAATAGCAGCGGAGGCGCACTGCTTTCAATGATGGTGATGCAGCCGAAGACCCATCTTTTGTGAATGCTCACTTTTTGATTTTACAGGTGCTTACAGAATTTTGCTCTGCGGAGGCGGCCTTGCAGTAGACATCTGAGGAATTCCAACGGCCAAGCTTTATAGCCCCTATCTTTGGAACACACGTCTGTCAACCCAGCAGAATCCATGCAGTCGGGCTGCCAGTGCTAGGGACTCTGCTGAGAGCAAGTAGTAGTTCCTGGCGAATCCAACAAGCCTAGACCCGTCATTACCAAGTTGTTCTTCAATCCCTGAAGTGGGCTGACTAACTTGAAGGTATATAGTCCCCCTTAAGTAGATAGAATATGTCTTTGGGTATATTATAAGAAGATCCCCATATACCCCATATTCTATCTACTTAAGGGGGACTATAATTATAACCCTTCAGGTGAAGGCAAGGAAAGGTTTCTAGCAAATGCTCCCTGGTGATTGGCGGCGAAGGAGATAATAAAGCATCGCCTGGATCATTACCACAAGCACTCTGAGCAGTACTGTAGGAATCCATTCTGGCATCGTTCAACGTGCGGGGAGGTTTGGAGTAAACACCAGATTCTCGCACATGAGGGTGTGCCTGGGCAAGTGACTAGTGGATGTGGCGGGAGGTGCAGAGGTCAGCAAGTTACAAGAATGCAGTTGTTGGGAAAGGTTCTGCCCGGAAGGGTGGGGCTGAAGAAGTTTTTTTAAGAATGATATTTTGGCCCACATGCAAGGTGAAACTGACTAAGGCCCCACAACACTAGAATCCACATTGAAGCTACCACACAAAGAGGCAAAACAACTTGAAGTACCTCCATAGCCCATTGACCCGGGTTTGCCAAGGTGCAGAAAGGTGCGAACATGGGATGGCGTCTCGCTGGCCAACAGGAAGCCCAAGGCCTCAAATCCGAAGCTAACGATTTGTGGGGCTCCCTCCCAGTGCATGGGACCTATGACTCTAGGATAGGGGTCAGGCCTCCATCTTTTGCTGCCAGAAACGTAGGCAAGAACATGTCAAGGCAAACAGGGGTGCTAGGGCCTGCTAGGGGCAAAGCAGCTGCAATCCCCTCCTCCTAATCTGAAACCCCACATTCCCCTTTATATTGAATACTACCATTGCGATTGTATAATGCACTGGGAGCATTCAATATAGAATATTAGGGGGGTTAATGGCCGCTGCTTCGAAAGATTTGATCGACGAAAAGACGGCAGCTCAGCCGACGGACTTGGTTTCCAACCTTATGCCAGGCAATGTAGTATGGGTACCCTTTTAAGGGTTAAGTTATATAGGGATTAGGGGTACCCTTTTGGGGTCCCCATAATCAGGATTCTAACATATTAGGATCCATAGGTCTATATTGGGGTCCCCTTCTTCAGGAAAACCACCACATGCCAGGCAAAGTGCTCGGCTTTCATGATGTCAGAACCTTTGATCAGATCTTGGACCCCACCTAAGCCTGGATATCCTTTGTAGGGATGCCCACGAAAAACGCACCTCTGCAAATTATGCGGGTGCATCCTTCCCAGAATGACGTCTGAATCCATGGCCCCATCATGAAGCTGGACTAGTCAAGATCCCCTAAACCCTAAGCCCCTANNCCTAAGCCCCTAAACCCTAAAGCGCAAGCAAGGAGCCGTCAGAATGCTTGTCTGCATGAAGTTCACTGACAGCAGCCTGGGTGAGCGCCGAGAGGGCTGTTCATACTGGAAACCTGATGGCAAAAATTCAGATGCACTGTTTTGCATGGCGAATTACATGACCTTGGTCATGTTCTCCAGATGCTGGTGATAGGTTGTCATGTTCTGTGACGTGAAGTGATAGTCTGAGGCCAGCTGATGGCGCCAATCAGGGTTCCGCACCCCTCACCGTTCAAGTCTGAGTGGCCCCTTGACGCCCCAGAACTTCCAGAAGGGTCGAACTGGTCGCAGAGCATCGCTGAAAGCGTGTTCGTACTGCAGTACCGCAAAGAGAGCAATGCCTCGGATGAGAACTGCGAATAACACTCTTTCCAAAAACACGTTGCTCTTTTTTTTTGGGGGGGGGAGGGNNGGGGGGGTGGGGGGTGGTGGTTGTGTAAATACAGTCTTACCCCTACAATCCCAAGTATTGTGGGATCAGAGCATATCAGAGCGATGAAGTGAAATTGCTACTCAAATGGGTCTGCCACTCCAGAAAGGGCCTACGTCTGCAAGGACCGAAACAAGTAAGAAACCTCATGGCAAATCCTAACAAAACCTTGCGCAGACCTGGGCAAAGCATGAGAGGACCAAATCAAACTTTCCCCCAGTGCATTACTTCGGTAAGAGAGGTCGGAAAGAGTTGGGCAAAGCAGCAGGCAAACTCCCACCAAGCGACTGCAAGTAAAGAAGTCTGCCACCACCATGAGTAGGGAGATGGCATTCCAGACGTCCTGCAACAGACAGTCGTTCAACGATATGTGAAGATGTTTCTCCAGTTGTGGCTTCGACCCTCACATGATCCTGAAAGGAACCCAACCCTCTTTGCAAGCCCGGACCCCTACGACCCTAACATCCAAAAATTGCAGGAGCCGCTAGGAGGCCAGGGACTTGGTCTTCAGAGCAACCAGGATGAAACTGCCCCTGAGGACAATCCAAGCCCAGGGCCTGGTGACTGAAAATGTCCCGCCTAGATGCTTTTCTGAGAAGAGATCAGACTAACTCTGGGAAGAAGTGCTATGAGACTTTGCAAGGTCCCTTGATGATAATGCAACACCGGGACCACAAGTCCTCGCATGATTTCATGGAAAGCCTTTCGAACAAGTTTGAAAATATTCGTCATCTTCTCCTAAGTAATTTAGAGCGCGATGATTCCTCGGACTGGAGCGAATCCGGACGGATATGGCCCCTCCACGGGCTTGGGCTTTGTTCAAGCCAGCCCGAACCCCCCCCCCCCACGTTATCACATGCACCCGACCAAAGATGCAGGAAGCCCGCGGCCATTTGTCGCAGGAAGAGGCCTTGTCAATGGTTTCCTTCGTAAATGTAGGAATACTTTGAGTGGGAGATCTCCTGAAGAATCATGAGGGGTCCCTCATCAACATAGCTACTGTGGTCCGCATGTGATCCCTCACCACCCGCAATCCACCTTGTCCTGGAAGCCCCTGGAAGGTCCCTAATACTCGCTTGCGATCAATGTGGCCTGAAGCCTGCAGAACCCCTGCTTCAGGACATGCTGGGCCCGTGAGCAGAACCCACGCCTCGCATGCCAAAGAGCTGGTCCTGGCAAATCGCTGCAAGGGTCTGTTGGTATCCCTGTCTTTCATTCTCTGATCGGGCTAGAGCTTCACGATTGTGTGGCCGTGGCTTGTCAGCATCTTGCTTGGTTCCTTGGGCAACTGTGTGTCGTACACCTTTGGAGACGATTTGGTTGCCAGGAAAGCTCTTGGATTCGTTGCACAGACAGGTAAACTTGACCTGTTTCTTGACATGTTCGCGTGCGACAGATGCTTTAGGAAGACTTGACGTAAAGGCTCAGGTAAAGGCTCTCATGCCACAATGCTTGCACAGAGGCTGCCGTGATTTTTACCGACAGTCCTGCTAGAATTATTCGCTTGAATTTGAGCTAGAATAAGGCGCTGACTTTCAAACTCATGGCAGTCGATAGCCGGAATGTGTGGTACAAACTTGATCTGCAGACATACTGCTTGACAACTTTGCAGTGCAAATGCTAACAGCGGCACCGGCATGGCAGGCTTGATGCATGTGCTACGCCCAGCACAAGTAGGAGCCTGAATAAAGGGACCACTCCAAACAGATGAAACAGAGCCGTAGATCACACTAAGATGAGGATACGACAAGGTCCACACAATTGAGCCGCCATTGTGTCAGGATAAGGCACATCATGGCACTGTGCCCCGGTCAATCCTGGTATGGATGGTGTCCCGCAGCTTTGCTTCGTTGACTGCCAGGCTGATGTTGTGCCGGGGAAAGACATAGCCCATCATGCCTGGACTCATCGAGGACTCATCGAGATTCAAGGACAAGTTCACTGGCTTAGAACTGGGCCTGTGAATATGGTTCGATGAGGAACGAAAAGGAACACCCCTTCTGAGTTCTGAGTCATTTATTTTCATTATCCTCATTATGTTTTCTTATTATCATGCATCATTCGGCCATTCGGAGTGTAAACAGATGTTGCCTGCTGCCTGTCGTGGACTCTAGTATCTATTTGATTCCCTTTCGCTTGTTTGATTCCTTATGGTTTTACGGTGGATGCTCTTGAATCAACATGCTAATCCTGCAAATATAAAATCTTGTTGTTCTTTTTTACTATCGTGTTACAGTTAATCTGCAAAACAGTGCATTCCTTACTGAAATTTCTGCAACTGGGTTTTCAACCAAGCCCACTTTGCTCCAAAGCTAACAGGCACAGGCTGAATCTGCCAGGTTGCCTAGATTGACTTAGACAAGCACACATCACTTCAATTCATCAGACATGCTTTGACAACTTCCACTAGCTGGACTAGTTGCATTACTGGCCAACCCTAAACCCTAAACCCCCACCCTCAACCCTAAATCCTGAACACGACAAACCCTAAACCCCCTCTTGCCTTGCAGAGCATCCTCGCAGGAGCTGGGATGCACCCAATCCCAAGCCTTCCAGGCTTGTTTTTTTGTCTTTAGGGTTTAGGGGTTTAGTAAGGGTTCAGAGGTCAACAAGGCCTGAAGTCTATCAAGTCTACAGTGCTTTGGATCTAGGGTTAGGGCTACAAGGGTTTATGGTCAATTAGGCCCTGACTCTGCAACTATCTCTAGCCTATGTTGGTACATGCACTGGCCGCTGCCAAGCCTTCACCGCCACGAGGATAGAGTTGCACGCAAACTGCCTGGGAGGCAGACACTTTCCCTCGCCGAGGCTCAACGCACTAGATGCTGTTGAGCAACTTCTGTCAAAATCATGCTGATACCGGCCGTTCAGCCAACTGCACATGGTGGCCGCCACCACGGCAATCAACACTGAAGATCCAACACCACACCCTCTGCCGCCAGTGGACTCCTTCAGGCCTTTGGACAATATGGGAGTTTCCCAAAATTAGGGGTACCATTTTGGGGGTCCTTATAATAAGGACTATGGTATTTGGGGTCTATATTGGGGTCCCCCTATTCAGGGAAACTACCATATGTGCACAAAATTAATTATGGGAACCAAGAAAGATGTCCAATATCACGTCAGGACCCCAGTACCGCGCAACCTTGGCAAACCACTCCAGTCAGAGTCAAAGTCCAAGCAACTCTAGTTCATTACTTCTATGTCGTTCTGTATCCAAGGAGGCAAGAGCTGTAGCACAAGTCTTTCTCTGACATGAAGGAGGGGGGCAAATCCTTCTCTGAAAGAGGTGCAGCACGACATACTGCTGGATGCCCACCGACATGACCTTCCTTGGTACCGCGCTTGCCCAAACACTTGCTGGGGCTTGTAGATCGAGAGTGGAAGATCTGCAGTTTAGCTGGCTGTTTCATACAGTGCTTGTCCGGGTGCATCCCTCATACATGTGCTGGAGTACAGGCACATGCCTGCAACGCTCACACAGAATGTTAAGCCTCCCGACATAAAGAGAATGGCTTCAGAGAGAACCACCTCCTCCTGCTCCCACTCCTCCTCCTGGGGTTTTTCGACTGATGGAGGATTGGTCTAGACTGCCGGTCCCAAACCATGAATAAACTACCATGTCGTCACTGGTTCCAAAGAAGCCATGTAACCAAACATTCAAACCAAAGTTATGACAAACTCTCACCTTCTCGTACGTACAAGAGGTGAATGTGCAACCACAATGCCGGTCAGGGCACTGAAAGCTATGGCGGATTTGGTCTGGCTCAGCCTTCACAGCTGCCTTGCACAGTGCCCAAGGACTCTTTTTTTAAACTACAGCTTTGCAAAAGTTGACATTCTGACATTACCCTCGCATCGGAAAGGCGATGCACAAAAACTATCAGATGTCACACGGCCAGTTTCTTACGCCATATTGTGCAGGCATGCAGAAGGCCTTGGGCGAATCAGCATGGAGAACATCCACGTAAACAATGAGCAGCCGCTGGAAAGAGTACCTAAGGACATCTATCATGGTATATTATGGTATATTATATTATGTTGTAATATATTGTAACACATTATGGTATCGCGGCTCCGGTGGCACATGGGGAAGTGGGTTTCTAGTCCACGCAACTGTTGCAGGCCCTCTCTGCCCTTCTGCAAGACCCAGCAGGCGCAAGAACCTTGAGCACAGAACGCCTTGGAGCCTCTGCTTGTTGCAGTGACCTCAAAATCAAGTAGGCCTACTGGACCTAAGCAAAGAGGACGTCTCGGTAAGGAAAACCAAGGACATCACATCGTCGGTATGATCGGCGTAGCTTGATTGAGCGGAGAGCCAGAAGATATCTGTGCAACTAGATGGGGCAATGAGAACCAGCAAACAACGGCTGCTACGCAGTTGGGCATGCGGAATTAAACTTTGGAGCTCTTTCCTGAAGAAACGATGACGAAGCTACAGCGCAATCGCGGAGAAGAGTTCTGCCACGTCCATCAAGGCTTCTGCTGTCCAGGTGTCCTCCGCTCTTAAGACATCCAGGAAAGTGCTTCTATACTGCAAACTACATGAAATCAAGAACAGGATTTGCTGTATTGAATGTTTATCCTGTAGCTCAGGTGAGGCCAGAAGCGAAAGCTCCAGCAACCCCCTTGCTCCGTCCACTTGCCCAACCAGCTGGAAAACTGACCTTAACCCTCTCGTCCCCCTTAAGTAGATAGAATATGGCTTTGGGTATCCCCATATACCCCATATTCTATCTACTTGGGGGGGACTAAAAATCCCAAGGTTCAGCCATGGATTTCAATGCTGCACTCGCTTTGAACAAAATGTTCTCTTATATGTGGCTAGTTCCCAAAACTAGGGTCCCATTTTGGTACCCCTAAATATCAGGTGCCGTAGTATTATCTACAATCAAAAGGGCCCACAATTTTGAGAACAACCCATGTGTTTCGCGGTCCGCTTAAAGAGTTTCGGCGCGTTGTTTGGAGACTCTGATGCGGTTTGGTTTGGGGCCCCTAACTTAATCCAGACCGTCCCCTTTAAACAAATCCCTAGGGCCCTCAGTACGTGGGAGCCTTATTGAGGATGCCTGTTTTCAATTTTCTGGGGGCCCGTGGTTAGGGAGGGGTTACACACACCAAAGAGAGCGCCACATTATTTCGGCCTGGACCTAGGCGCCACTCAAGACGGACTTGAATCAGAGGGCTCACAAAAATTGGGGTAAAGGACCAACCGTAATGGAGTATATACAATAGATCCTTTGACCCACCTACCTTTTGACTTTGAGCCCCCTTATTGAAGCAAAGGAAGCAATTCCGCATGGACCTCCCGGTTCGTGGTGATGACCCTGAGAGCCCCAGCTGCGCAAACGCCATATGTCGCTGGCAGCAGCCTTAGAGATCAATCATATGGAGCTTTTTTTTGAAATAGGAGGTAGGTCTGTAACATGCTTCGAAAAATGGAGACTGCAATGGAAGAGAAAATGGAATATCAAATTGAACAGTAGGTATATTGAAAAGAGATTCTGGAAAGAGGAGGTCCCTAATGAATCTAGGGATGTAGGGATTACACAAGAGGATTATGGAGGTCCTGATTGGTAGGATAGATAGGGGATATCTTCAGAAACAAAGCCACTAGGAGGCTCAACGTACACAGAGTACTGGCTACCGTCCTTCCAGCAAACCTATATTAGGGTTCCACATTTGCGTAGGGCAGTGTGCCATTCTCTGGGTGGTGCACGGCTAGAGCTTTCCTCCTGCCAAGCCTAAATGTGCTCGCCCTCTTAAGCCTCTTTAGCTGTCGCAGAAATTCTTGAAATTCACATCCCCCGTGTATCACCTCATGGCAGTTGGACTGCAGACTCTCGCAAAGGTTCCTATGATTTAGCAATATCCATTAATTAGACAGGTCTGTGTCATGATAAGCTGCTTCCGAGACCTCCACAGCAATGCGATCCAGGAGCAGTACCACTGCAGTAAGCCGAGCGATAGAGTGACCGCGATCCGGCTGCAGCAAACCAAAGACCTTCGCACTTATCAGCCTGGTCTAAGGTCCTGCCGCACTCATTAAAAGTCGATGATGAGACCTTACTAAGGGCTCTCTATATCTACCTATATATATATATCGTATCATAAATATTCTGTGACTGTTAAGGAGCGGGAGCAGTACCCGAGGCTGGTAAATTCTTTGGCTCCCGAATGGGATACTACGAAACTATCAAAATCTGTAGCTCCACAATTTTTCATGGGCTTTAGTATCATTTAAAAAGAAGATAATCCTGAAAAGGATGACTAAGTGATTACATAACGTTGTCCAAATGGTGCTCGCTCTTTGGTACTGTGGCCCTGCATATCCAAGGCACGCAGCGAGACCAAAGTCTTCGACAATGCTCCCATATCTAAACCCTAAACCCTAAACCCTAAACCGGATATGTGCCAGCTGTAAGGAGATTCTGACGCTCTCTTAGGAGTGATTTTGACGACAGGCTGACAAGCCACCTAGACTATGCCTCAAAATAACACCCCCCAACATAGCGCCATCATATTCTAGGGCGGCGGGGTCCCCTTTTTTCTTTTGGGGAAGGATGAACTATAGGCCATGAATACAATCTCCCAATACCGCTTGAAACCCGAACTCACCTTCGATTCGCATAGGCAAGTGGCCGGTGTCATCCACTGCCTTACCTGCAATGCCGTCAGCAGCAAGGTCCCCCAGGCAAAGGCCAGACCAGTAATCAGCCATACCTTTGCACTGTAGTCTCCGTAGACCTTTAAAAAAATCCTATCTTTGATATTTCCTTAGGGTTATACTATATCGAAATTTGAACTATTACCTAAGGACACTACAGTGCATGGGTCGGAGTAGGGGTCTGGCTCATGAACGTGTGGAGCGTGGATAGGTGCAGTGCTAAGCCCGGCGGGTAAAGTCATCCATCAAAGACCCTGAACGATGCCCATTCCTGGGAAACATCAACCAAAACACGTACAGTGGCGACAGTGAAGTCGCGAATGCTAACCCTTGACTATCGCGCTGCTGTGTGGAGCTCACTGGCCGGCACTTTGAACACGGACTGGACCTCCAAGCGCTCAGACCGTATGCACTTGTGCTTGGCACAGCCGGTCTCGAAGAAGAGGAAATAACTTTTCCTCGGTGGGCTCGGGTGGGGGTTTCTCAAAATAAGCAGCCCGTAGGGACCCAAGTGACATATGGATTCTACGGAATCACAGGGCTCTCCAAGTCAATGCAAGTGAAGTTTTGAGAAACTCCTCAGTTTAGTATGGTCCAGCCGAACTCCGTCAACCCTGCTGAGCATCGCTTGGTTGAAGCCTGTAAGATGATATTCTCTGGCCTCAGAGACAAGACCGTTGTACTGTAGTCGCTTTTGGGGATCCCACTATAAAGGCTGTCATGCAAATCCCGAGCATGCGAATTCCAGGGCTGTGGTTGCGAAGGGCTGTGG